TAGTCTAGCTATGTAGCCTAGGCTGCCTTTAAACTCACTATATAGCCAAGGCTAATTTGCAACTTAGAATCCTGCCTGAGGCTTCCAGGTACTGGAAGGAATAACACCATGGCCATCAGAAGACAAAATTTTAAATGTCTTCATTATAATTTTATCTGCACATTTATGCACATACATTCAAAAGTTGACTTCTAAATAAAAAGTTGACTCTAAAATAAATGTACTATTCCAGCATAGACTATAAGCAAAGCTACAAAAATTATTGTGACTTAAATTAATAAAATTAGGCTTGATTTTTAGTTAGGATTAGGCTTGAGATGGGAAAATATTCATGTAGGTGGCATTCAAGTTTTTTTTTTTTTTTTTTAAGAACAATAGGGGAGGATCTGGGCATATAGAGGTGAGAATATAAAGAGAATGAAAGTGAAATCAGGGACCAGTTGTTACATAAGAGTGGAGCAAGTATTTGAACAGAAAAGAACGCTTTGGAAGTTAATGTAGGGCAGGAACACAAGGTTGTTTTGGTCCAGGGATGAATGGAAACCTTTGAAGACATGTGAATAGAACAATAGGATACTATGCTTTTAATTTGTCTTTATTATAGGTATATTTAAATAAGCGAGAAGAGGAAAAAATAAGGTAGAAGGCCCAGAAGGTCGGCTCTGTTCATTTGGCTTACTCACTAATGTGTTGCCAGGACCTGGAACATAGAACATAGTCATCTATCACCATCACTGAGTGACTGTGTGTTGTATACACATAGCCAGCAGAGAGGCATCCATTCAGAAAGGTGTGGAAAGTAGCTGCTCCATGTAGAAATTAGCAGCTGATGTCATGCACCGGAGTGCTACGTGTAGCACAGGGAGCCCTGGTGCAGGATTGTGAAGGAGGGAGAGGAGGAGCAGGCTAAGGCTGAGTCTCTTCTGCCTCTGTAATAATTGGTGAAGGCGGAGACACTGAGGCAGGTGACAGAGATGGTGAAGGGGGAAGGCACTGAGGGAAGGTGACAATGATTTGGGAGAGAAGATGGAGGTTTCTGTCCCACCAGGTCCCGCCACCCTTCATCCCCAAATAAGCACACAGAGACATGTTCATTATTAAACTGTTGGCCGATGGCTAGGGCTTCTTATTGGCTAGCTCTGTCTTAATTATTAACCCATTTCTATGAATCTTTATATTGCCACGAGGCTGTGGCTTATCCGTAACCTGCCATGTTACTCTGTCAGCAGCATGGTGTCTCTCTGCGGCCTCTCTCTACCTCCTCCTCTTTCCTCTCATAGCCCTGCCTGTCCTTCCTGCCTGGCTATTGGCCAAACAGATTTTATTCATTAGCCAATAAGAGAAACATATATACAGAAGGATATCCCGCATCATAGTCCAAAAGGCAGAGGGGTCATTACTCATTTTCAATGTCTAACTCATAAATGATTATTTTGGATTTTGAAGTTGAGCCTTATTTTAAAGCAGCCTTACTTTGAAGTTACTCAGTGTTTAAAAAAAAGAATGGATATCATAAAAGGAATTTATGGATTCCTGTTGAGGGGAACAAGGTCAAAACAAGCAAATGGGGTATATCCTGAAGCAGGCAGAATAATTTCAGGATTTGCATATTTTGGAATGTAACACCTCCTTCCTTTAGGCTTCTTATTACTACAACATTGAGCTAAATTTTAGTACATTATACATAGTCGTTAAGCACTAGGATAATTATATCACAAAAGATGTTTGCCTTATGAATTCATTTAATTCCATATCTTTATTAGCGACCTACCCAGGGATATTTTAAGTTATTGTATTGTTTTATTTCTAGACAACTTTCATGAACCTTATTTTGCCTAAAGGAGGCACACAGATCAGTTGTTAAAAAAATAAAATAAGATGTAAGCTCAAAAATAGGCATTGCTTCCTTCCTACTTTATGGCTCTGAAAGCCATTGTGAGCCTCTTACTAGTTTTTACTACAGCAGCAAGCTGCCGGACTGAACATTATGTTTCCATTTTGATTAACTTGACTGCAGTTGTATTTTGGGTGCCACTTTAGAGCCCGCTGTGGAATAAAATTAAAACATTCTTTATGATACAACAATTTACTTGCTGAAAATGGCATTTTTCTCCCATCCCTGAGAGGCAGTCCATGCTCCCCCCAAGTTTCCCATGTGGGCCCCAGGGCTCGGTTTTCTCCCTTCACCAATGCATCTTCTGTAAGATCCCAGATTCGTATTCCCGGAGTGCTGGTGTTCATTCCCAGCTCCTGGAAGGCTCCCGTCTCCTCTTCTCCATGCCCAGCTCATCCATCACAGAGAAAGCAGAGAGGCTCTGTTCTCCCTTAGTCTCTGCTGATGTTCCAGGTCCAGTCTCGATGTGTATCTCTTCCACCAGCTTAGTTCTTGTGCTCCTTCCCACCAAATTACACACTGCGGGCTTCTTACCAACTCTCCTCTATATTTCTGCCAACTCCTCCATTGTCTGCTCCCAGAAATAAAAAAGGGAATACAAATAAAGTGAGTACAGACATCATGGCACATGTGCACCAACATGCATAAACACACACAAAATAAATTAAGCTAGTAAATAAGTAAACAAAAATAAACGTTTGTTAGACAAATGAATAAGGAATATTTTGAAATTTAATAAGTATGCAGACTGCCCCCTCAGACATCTGAGACCTCTTTCTAATACTTTCATGATCCCTTTAGCAAACTTTTTCTGTTTCCCACAATGCCTCTCATATGATTCACTGGGGATGGAGTATTCACTGTCTCCTCCCTGCTGGATACCAATGCCTTTGTTTTGTTCGCTGATGTAAGAGTCCCAAATGCTCAGAAGCATGCTGGTTGTACTGGCTGAGTAAATGAATGAACCTGGAAACCCATGGGCAACTTCTCCCTGTTGTCTGGGTTACTGCAGTGGTTTTTTAGGTACGGGCCAATGTCATGGGAGCAGATTGGGAAGAAATATAGAGTCTCCAAAATAAAAGTCTCCCACTCACTACCTGTACACCTCCAAGCAAAATCCTTGACTTCTCTGAAGGTCATTTCCTTCCCTACTAAAGAATAGCATGAGCTAAACTTACAATGTTGGGTTAACATTTAGCCCCAAACCAGAAGCTAATGGCTGATGTTCTCTGATCGGTCTTACCGAATCAGACTTGGTCGTGATACCTTCCATTCTCTGTCACCATGTGTTCTTTGAGAAGTAGGAGTGTGTCACTCATCTTGTCATTGAGAAGCAGAGGTCCTGCCAGAAACCACACAGTGGAGGTGGGCACAGTGCTGCTGAACACTCGCTGCATGCTCTGCCTTCCCGGGGGCTGCCCTGGAAGATACTGATTGTTATCTCCTTTGGAGCAGAGCATCTAGAGCTTTCCTTCCTGTTTTCATATGCCAAAGGAATGCAAAGAACTAAAGAATGCCCCAGGAGGTGTTATTATGAAATAGCCTAGTCCTCCCAAAGCATGGGGTGCAAGGGAGTCTGGGAACCCCACCCTACCCCTGCCATGAATCAAACCTTCCCATCTGCTAATGAGCACTACTTCCAGGTCATTCCCACCCTCTAAATAAAGTATTTAACAAAGATAAAATACACTTGCATTAAAACTGTTTCAAAGATCATCATGGTATTGGTTTAGAAGCCAGTTAGTTAGCTTATGGTTGGAACAACCAAGCAGTCATTACTGCCTTCATTAATGATTGGAAAAGTACTGAATCTTTTCATTTTAGAGAGGTCTGCGAACACCATTTCAAAACATACAATTACATCACTAATAACTCTTAATTGTTGTAGTAAAGTTAACATGAAAAATGAGAAGGCTGTCTTCCCTACGAAGGAATTAACCTCTGCAGATGTTTTCATTGGACATTTGAAATGACTAACCCAGAATTAATGAGCTGGATTTTGTCAGCATCTGAAAAACATCTTTTACATTTCAAGGAGTGGATTTCCTTTTTGAAATAGTTTGTCATCATTTCAGAAGACTAAAAAGGTACTTCAGAGAGCATTAAAATGAGAAATAATTTCATTTGGATGCTATAAAGCTTCATTATGCTTAATTGATTGGGAGGGTTGGTGGCAGGCCAGAGAGAGCTGGCGGATGGATGCGTGGGACTTGAAAGGAAATATATGCATTTAGTGTCAAGCACTCTTCAACAGACCAAAGTTTAGTTTTGATAGTTTTGTTGTAGTGCTAAAGAGCTAAGCTTTGGCACCCTTCTGGTCTACATTTGAGTCCCACTTTTCCACTCATTAAACCTGTAAGTTTAGACACATAACTGCATTTGGATCTTTGTTTACCTCATCTGGGAAGGCACAATGCCTTCTTAGTAATGATGTCTTACATGAAATGACACATCATTTGTGCAGTGCCTGCTGTAGGCACTGAATGATATTTGTCATCAAGCCTTGGCCATTTAGATATGATGACGTATGTGGATACCATTATGCCAAATAAATGGAAAATGTCTGTATGGAACCCTGAATATAATATTCTACTTAGTTTGGAAACACTTTTTTCTTTATTTCCCTTTTTTTTTCAGACTCACGGAATTTATATTGTGTTTTGAGTTGTCAATTTGTTAATAAAGTGAGGGGGGGGGCTGGAAGGTAATGCCACCTTTCTCCCCTTATGTTAAACCCTGTTTTGTTTGTTTGAGAAATGGGGCCAACTAAACCCTAAATCCTTGTGGTCTAGGCTCCCACAGCCCCCAGCTCCATTGGAACCAGGAACACCTAGAGAGCCACCATATGTTTTGAAACGATCTATCAGTGGCCAGGAGCCTGTTCATTGGCTAGACTGCCTGGTCAGTAAGCACCAGAGACCCTCCTGCCTCTGCCTCCCTGGTGCTGGCTGAGGACTGAACTTAGGTCCTAGGCTTGATGACAAGTACTTTCCTGGCTGCGTCATCTCCCCAAGCCCATACAAGTTTAAACTAAAGAAATTTCACTGTAGGCTATGGAGTAAGCAGTATGAATTCCAACTTTCTTATATGAAATTGTATTTCCTAGGAGAATGCGTGGAAGGGCTGCGAGAGAATGACTACCTACTGATCCATTCATGTCGGCAGTGGACCACCATCACTGCCCACAGCCTGGAGGAAGGTCACTATGTCATTGGGCCAAAGATAGAGATCCCCGTACATTATGCAGGTAAGACTTAGCAAGACAAGCAGAGAGAGCAGGGGATTTAAAGAGCTGGTTTTCTTCTTATAATACCAACTAGAGGGCACACTACTAAAAGAACTAAACATTTCTGTGTGGTTATTATTATTATTATTATTTTTAATCAATGATGGCTCCATTTTGTCATAGATATTTGTAAGTAATGGGGCTAGGTGTGAAAATTTTTCATGAAGGGCTTCTCTGTGGTCTTGGTATTGGAGTCTATGTGTAGCCAGTCTATGAGTCCCACATGTGTGTCCATCTGAGTAACCCGAGTGCAATCTGAGCAATGCTTTTGTGAGTGGCCAGGATGTAGCAACCCCCCAAGGAGCCATTTCACAAGTGAGCACAGTACCCTGGTATTAAAAGTATCTGTTTAAATGTCCACATAACGTGGGCATGCCACCCCTCTCAATTAGTTGTTTAGAGTCTAGCACGTTTAGAGTATTAAACATGGATGATGCCCACCTTGCCGCCTTACTTTAAACTCCATTAGTTCAGGGATGTCCTTGCACTTGGTTTTTTTGAGTGGATTCTGTAGTGAGAATTGAACTTGCGATGTGTAAATAAGTAAATTTTGCTTAAATAAGCCTAGAGTGTGGGTAGCTTATAAATCAGTTTTTGAAAAATAAACTGTCTGATTTTTAAAGTTTGTCACATAAGGTTATTAACTTTTTTATTTATTACTGTAATTTTTAAAAAGTTATAGCAGGATATTTTAACTATAGATTTTAAGTAACTAAGATTATGCAGACCTCAACTGCTCCTTTGGCTTTGACAAACTTGTCTACAATGCTAGGCAAATTATTTATTTGAAATGAAATCATTCCATATTCTAGAATGATAGCAAATGATATTTGTTCAAACAGTATTTAATGACTGAACAAATGCTTTGGTAACCTTTTTGATTCTTACTTAAAAAAAAAATAAAGTCCTTTCAAAAATATTATAGGAAAGAGAATCTTTGTGATGGAATCTTTCATGGGAACCACAGGCTAGATCCCAAATAAGCACACAGAGACTTAATAATTATAATTGGCCAGCTGATAGCTTAGGCTTGTTACTAGCTAGATCACACAACTCAAATTAACTTGTATCTTTTATGTACACTCTACCATGTGGTGGTCCCTGTTTTCAGCGTGTTCATCTTGCTTCTCTACATCTCCTGTGACTCTGCCCTCTTCTTTCCCATGCTCTCTTTTTGTCCACAAGTCCTATCTAACCTCTGTTTACCCATCTATTGGCGATTCAATCCTTTATTAGACAAATGAGAGCAACAAATATTCATAGTGTACACAAAGATTGTTCCACAGCAACCATACCTTTAGTTATGAGTAGGCTTTATGGGAAAAGGTAGGTAGGTAGAACGTGTAGAAGGTGCTTTGTTCATGAGGTTATGACCAGGCAACTGGAGCAGTGTTCATAGGAATAGGGAATTTGACAGGTCCTCAGGTTGCCCACATTCCCCTCCACAAGTTTCCACCCAAACAAGGTCCACTTTATTTTCAACAGGCTCAATTCTGGTTTTTCTCCTTATGGAAAACTAAAACTGAAGAGTAAATGCCATCATTGTACGTTTCTACCTAGGCTGTGATTGGCTCTGTCAAATCAGTCTTCCCAGAGGGCTGCTTTGAATGGAGACTCCTTCTACCTTGTCTTGGACCTACAGAGTTCTAGCCTGGTTTTCCCATCATTCAGCTCTAAAGAGTGGACATTATCCTGTAGCTGGGTCAGTCTCCTCCTTATTCCTGACTACACTGAATATTTTCCCATTTGCCCCACTCACCCTGCTGGAGTTACCTCCTTCAGCCATGCAGCTTCTCTGGTAGGGAAGGCCTTCCGTCACAGATTGGCTCTGGGTCTGCTTCCTGCATGTCATATTCATTTGATACATTTCATGACTCTTCATGCAGTTGTCACTTTCTATGTTCACATATACCTCCCTTTGCTGACCAGTTGGATTGTACATTACTCAACAAATAAGATAGATGTTTAAAGTTTCTTGAGCATTCTTTCTATCAGTCTACAATTGATAAACTTCTTTGTGGAAATGGGTGTTCAGTCCAAGGACTGTAATCTTGGCTATACAGTGGAATCAAATAGAAGATACTGGAAAGACTGGTTGCTGAATCCTGCACATTCTAGTTCAGTTGGTCTCAATGGTTGCATAGGTCTAAATGGTTGTATAAGATGGGCATCAAGATTTTCAAGGTTTTTCCATGGTTAAAAATACAATTAAAGTTGGAGAAAGACATCCAGTATCAAATGATAAGACACCCCCCCCCAAACCAGCAACAGACACAAATGTTCTGATCTTATGCTTTTATATTGATAGCCATTCATCTCTCAGTGGGAAGAAAGCTATGGCATGTTCAGACACTTACCCTCTGTATGAGAAATGATGCCACACAGGTAACCACTGATGGTTCCTGTAAACTACATGTTGCAAAGTTATGGATTGTCTTTAATGAAGTAGAACTGCCAATGCTAAACTGAGGAGTAGAAACACTAAAATCATACAACTTTACATTAATGAATAGAAAGCAAATTAAAGAAAGAGAAACCTGAAACAAAGCCAAGTGCTTTATGATGTCATTTACCATTAGGCAAAAGGGAGGGGTGGCTGGTGATGAGTGTCAGGCCCAGCTTTCTGAGCTGTTTTTCTTGAATTGCTTCAGCAAGAAGCTGGAGTAGAAGTTTGGAGGTCCAGATAGATACTGACTTTTTGTTTGGGGTTCCACATCTTTTGACACATGAAGGCATTTCAGAGTTTACCGGCAAAGGGCTGGTTGTAGTGCCTCTTGGTAGAACATTTGTCTCCGGTGTATATGGCCCTGACCTTAATCCCCAATACTACAAAGAAAAAGAAGTTTACAAAGACAAAGTTTACTGACTTTCCTCATTTTTTTCCCCTTTCAGTCTTCTGTGCTAACAAATAAGAAGGCAGTTTGTTTTGGTTACATTTTAAGACAGAGATTTGTTACTTTTGGTACAATCACTTAAGTAGTTTTGGTGGCATATTTATAAACCATTTTCTTAGTTTTTCAGAGTGTCACTGCTTCCAAGGCTTCCTCCTGCCTCAGCCTACCCAAGTATCTGGGGTTATATGCATGCAGCACCCTGTTTACTTTATAATGGCATAGTCTGTTTCCAAGAGGAGATTTATTAGAAAGTTCAGCCCTTGGTAGAAAGAGCGTTAGAGCACAATGTGGGAACAAAAGCTGTCACTTTCATTGTTCTTGCTTATTTGAGCTCCGGCTGTAATTAGTGGGGAATATACTTACCCAGGCATGTATTACCATTGTGTCCTTGGCTTCAGGATTTCATCTAACTTGGGATTTCTCTTCCATTCCTGGAGAAGGCTTTAATAAGTAGTTCACAAACACCTTCAGCACAGCAGCAGTAGCACAGCCCACCAGCCTGGTGACCAGCCTCGTTTGGTTTCTGCCACTTACTCATTCTCAGTATTGTTTGGACACATCCTGGTTTCTTAATGTGCCAGTGGGATAGAGCACTTTTCTTCCAGAGAAGCCTGGAGGCTATGCAAGCTAAACACCTTTCAGACCATGTTTCAGACCTTCTGAGTGAGTACTCCACACACGTTAACCATGCTGATCACCACAGAGAGCCCAATGAAATGCTTCGGAGTTCCTTGCTCCTATCTTGGACTAATCAATGGCTTGCTTTCTGGTGTTGAAGCCAGATGAGCACCAACACCCTTCAATGTTGTCCAGGCTGCTGTGCATGGTTTTGTTTGGTTGGGTGCTCTCTCTCTCTCTCTCTCTCTCTCTCTCTCTCTCTCTCTCTCTCTCTCTCTCTCTCTCTCTCTCATCTATTTCACTTTGCTTTTTAGAAATAGTTTTGTTTTGAGAACTTCATATGTGAGCCCTGTATCTACATCACTCCCTCCCCTCCCCTCCCTCTCCCTCCATTACCTCCCATGTGCCTCCTCCAAAATTTATGTTCCCACCTTTAGTTGTTACATGTATATGCATGTGAATATCTGTGTGTATGTGCGTTCACATGTGAATGTTCATCCTACTGAGTCCAGGTAGCATCGCTCGTATGGACATGTGTGGGCACTTGTTCCCGGAGTAGCCTGGTTCTCCATCTCTCGGCAGCTATTGGCTACCTGTAGCTCTTCATCTAGGGCTGAGGCCATGTGGAACTTCCCCCATCCACACTGGCATGTTAGCTGGTATTGTCATTATTGCTGGTCTTTTTGGGGCAGTCCTGTTTTGGGAATTTCTGGATGCAACTTCTTCTAAACTTTGTCTTGATGCCTCATTCTTCTATCATTTACTCAGTTTGGCCCGTTTTGATCTCATGTTTTCACTTATTGTTTTTATCATGTTTGCTCTGCCCTGATGTGCATACAGACATACATACACATGTGCTTACTTTGAATATTTTGGAGCAGACAGCATGCATGCCCTAATGCTTCACTATGCATTTCTAATACAACTGCCATACAGGTGGCAAATTCAGGACACTTGACACTGTAATCTATAGCCCGTGTTCCAGTGTGGCCACTAGTCCACTAGTGTCCTTTATTGCATTTTTTTGTACCCAGGATAGCATCAGACCACTTGGTGCATTTCATGACCAGGTCTCGTCAGCATGTTTTCATCTGGCACCCTTCCTTGGCTGTCTTTGTGCTGTATGGTGTGGACAGGTTTAAAGAGTACAGACTATTGCCTCCTGATCAGATTCCACTGGTGCACTTTGTACAGGGTCACTATATATGTGACCATGTCCTCCTCAGGAACCACTGAAGGGAGCCAATGGCCACGTGCCTGTTACTAATCATAGCAGTTTTGACCACTGGGTTGTCTGATTTCTTTGCTCTGTCTATATTTATTTATAGGTAGATGGTAGATGATAGATAGATAGATAGATGATAGATAGATAGATAGATAGATGATTGATCTATAGATAGATAGATATTGATGATGGATGGATGGACGGACGGACGGACGGACGGATGG